ACAATGGACGACGAACCTGGACTACGCTTGGATGATGAGAAGATTGGGTACGGTTATTTTTTGTAATAATTGTGCATTGTAATTGCTTATTGGTAATTTATGGATAATGTGTTAAGTCAATTGTTATATGTTGTATGGAACCACTGCTGTTTCTACTGTTTTTACTGTTTGTGAACCGCCTTGAGTCGCCTTCGGGCTTGAGATACAGCGGTATAGAAGCAAAGTAAATAAATAAATAAATAACCTGGACACAGCAGATTATTTGAGAACACAGAAATGCTGGACCACTCTCACAACCACCATGTCAGACTACACAGAGAAGCCATTGAAATCCACAAACATGTGGACAATTTCAACAGAAAGGAAGAAACCATGAAAATGAACAAAATCTGGCTACCAGTATTAAAAAAATTCTAAAATTGCAACAGCAAAAACAGCAGAGAGAAAAACAGGCAGGGACATCTAATCACCTTCAAGAAGAGTTTGCTCCAGGCACAGTCAGCCCATTGTATGCTAATCAAGGTGGTCAGTTGAAAGATTCACACCTAGCCCAACTTACAAAAGCCCTTTGTCTCACCCTGGTCATTCCACAGATATATAAACCCCCTTTTTCCCAGTTCCAGCAGACCTCACCTCTGAGGATGCTTGCGTAGATGCAGGCGAAACGTCAGGAGAAATGCCTCTAGAACATGGCCATATAGCCCGAAAAAACCCACAAGAACTGAATTAAAAACTAGCTCTTTCAATACAAAGTGAATCAAAGGAAACAATAGTAAATAGTAATTTGGCAAGAAGTCCATAGTTGACAGTTTCCCTCTTGGCTTAAAGGTTGGTTAGAACATTGCTTATTCCCATTTTATTGACTGGTTTTCTTTTAACCGTGAACCCATGACTCATTGAGTTTCCCTTATGGCACAACAGGGGATGCTCAAGAGGGCTGGTGATGTTGTAAGGCTGCTTTAAAAACTCTTTCTTCCAGATGCAGACACTTTATGAGCAGCCTGCTTCTTCTCGTGGGCCCCTTTTCCCCCACCAACCACAGGGCTCTTTTCTCCGCCTCCCTTAAGCAATAATACAAGGCTAAACAAACATCTGGCCAAAGGCTGTCTGCCCCACATCTGGGCAGCGTTAGCAGAGCCTGGGACCTGCTTGAAGAACAAGCCGCTCTTTTTCGGGAGGCGGAAGGAGAGGTTTCCTGTGTGGACTGAAGGCAAGGAGCATCTGGGGTTAGTTGGGCTGAGATGCATCACCAGTAAGGTAAGAGACACCTTGCTTTTGCTTGTCTTTTCATCCTTTAGTCATAAGGGCCAAAAAGGATCTGGGGAGATAAAGAATATATCTGGGTTGCTGCACTTCAAGTTTGCCTTCCCTAATTCTTCTAATATGTGATAGCTTTAGTATACTCGGAAATTGAAGCTTTGTCTCTTTTTGTAGTAAGTCTATACTTTTTTGTGCTGTGAGTTTTCCAGGCTGTATGACCATGCTCCAGAAGCATTCTCTCCTGACATTTCGCCCATATGATTCCAATGAGAGGTGCTGATTTTGCCCTAGCTGCTTTTAGTTTAACCTCCTGCCTCTTCTAATTGGTTTCAGCCTGAATTTTCTGCTACACCAGATTGATATTACTCTGGAGACATCCTTTGCACATTTAAGATGCTCTCCAAAGCCTCCCCCATCCTGCTGCTTCTTTGGGCCAAAGTGGCGTCCTCCACATGGCATGAAGGTAAGCGCACCGTCAGCCCCAAAGTAAGAGCATCTGCAATCTTTCTTCCATCAGACCTAAATCCTATCTTATGTAGAGCTTGGAAAGTTACTTTTGAAAGTAACTAGCATTTATCCCTGGCATTGACAAGGGGCCCTTCCACACAGTTATATAACCCAAAATATCCATAATATCTGCTTTGAACTGGATTATTTGAGTCCTCACTGACATATAATCCAGCTCAATGTGGATTTTATACAGCTGTATGGAAGGGGCCAAGTAAATGTTGGAGTTGCTAGCTACCTACTTTCTCCCTTCTCTAGCTCTGAGAAGTCCCACCTCACAATGTGTCTATAGCAACACACTGGTAATGATGGGCAGGCTCTCTTTGTGGCTCTTTCGTTCCTTTTTCATTTCCCTCTTACACCTTCTCCCTCTCCCTTTCCTTTCTTTGGCTTCTTCTTTCCTTGCTTTCCCTCATACACCTTCCCCTCTTCTTTCTTTCCTTTTTCTCTTTCTTCTTTTCTTCTTCTTTTCTTCCCCTCTTCTTTCTTTCCTTTCTCTTTTCTTCTTTTTCTCTCTTCCCTCCCTTCCTACATTCCTTCTTTCTTCCTTTCTCTTCTTTTTCTCCCCTCCCGTCATACTTTTCCCTCTTCCTTTCCCTTCCTCCTTTTCTTTCCCTTCTTTTTCTCATTCTCTCCTTCTCTTTAGCTCTTCTTAAGTATGTTTTTTTCTCAGTTTTTTGAAAGAAGACAAAAACATTTGTTTGTAATGGGTCCCTGTGGCCCCTTCTGTGCTGGAATGAAAATCACGCGTAGTTCCTGTCTTTACCAATCCACACACTGTCTTGCTAGAAAAAGGATATGCCATGCAGATTATTAGTAAAGAATAAAGTGTTTGCTCTTTGCTGTATATACAGTCATGCGAACAGTTGCATTGACTCACACAATGCCTTTTGAGAGAGATTCAAATGATCCTTAGGTGTCCATGTGAAGGATCTTCTTCCAGCAGCCCAGAATCAAAAAAGTATACCAACTGTCTTGGCAAGCTCCTGCACAGGAAACCTAAACATGTAACTGTTGCCAAAACTCCCAGGCTCAGCTAGCATCCCCAGGCACAGCCCAACCTGTCAGCTTTGTGTTTTGCATTTTTCAGTTAACACACTCAACAACTGATTTTTACGTTCCAACACATTCTAATAAATTATTATTATTATTATTATTATTATTAATAATAATAATAATAATCTTTATTTATACCCCACCACCATCTCCCCGAAGGGACTTGGGGCAGCTAACATGAGGCCAAGCCCAAGAATTAGAATAAGGCTAAATAAATACATACAACAGACAATAACATCAAATAAAATAGTAAATAATAACAAAGCAATACAATAAAATAATAACAAAGCAATGCAATACAAAAAATAATAACAAAGCAATGCAATAAAATAATAACAATAGCATAATAACACAAATAACACAAACACCGGGAGCCCCCGGTGGCACAGTGGGTTAAAGCACCAAGTTGCTGAGCTTGTTGACTGAAAGGTTGCAGGTTTGAATCCGGTGAGCAGTGTGAGCTTCCGCTGTCAGCCCCAGCTCCTGCCAACCTAGCAGTGTGAAATTATGCAAATGTGAGTAGCTCAATAGGTACCACTCTGGCGGGAAGGTAACGGCACTCCATGCAGTCATGCCAGCCACATGACCTTAGAGGTGTCTACAGACAACGCTGGCTCTTCGGTTTAGAAATGGAGATGAGCGGCACACCCCAGAGTCGGACACGACTCAACTTAATGTCAGGGGAAAACCTTTACCTTTACCTAATAACACAAATATAAAATGAGAAAGGGGTTAAACGAAGCAAGCTGAACCAAATGCAAAGGCTAACATTATAAAAGCCCGGGATGAGATAGATAAATAAAATGGTGTGTCTAGTGGAAGACTCGGGTGGGATAAACAATGGGGTTAATCTTCACTGAGTGCATCAGAAGGACAATTTGTACCAAGACGGGCATATACTGCCAAATAAAATCCAGATTATCTGATTTGAAGTGGATTATATGCCAGTGTAGACTCATATAATCCAGTTCAAAGCATATAATGTGGATTATCTGCTTTGATAATATGGCAGTGTAGAAGGGGCCTGTGTTTTACCCTCGACTTCTCTATTGGTCTCCAAACATGTCTTCAACACCTGCATGAGGTCAACTTATGTATGCATGCTACCCTTCTCCATCTCATCCGCAGCCATGTGTCTGATAGTTTGGTTCCTATTTTAAAACGTAGACTCATATATTTATATTTGTTTTCTAACCAGCTCTTGCCTCTATTTTGGCCACTGGATTGTCTTCCAGAGAAGACCACAGTCAGGCCACAAAATGCCATAGCCAGGTCTCTTCCCTAAATATCCAACACTGTTGGAGAAACCTAAAGAGATAAGCAACTGAAAAAGTTTTCATGCGGGTGCACACATGGCACTGTTGTGTCTGCGGCTTATCTGATCAGGTTTTTCTGCCTGTGCAAGTTTGGTAGTTGGGTGCCTGCCCAGCCCCACACGTTGTTTCAAAACAGTGTTAGCAAAGGACTCCTCCTGATGAGTGATGTCTTCCTTGCTAGGGATTAAAATTAGAGAAGAAATGGGAATATTTGAAGTTCAGACCATCTCCAGCGATGAGTAAATATAACTCTTGTGGCCGTAATAGCAAAAGCTGCAGTTTTTCCACATTCTCTGCATGAGGAGGAGAGTGCTTGGCAACGGATGGGTCATCTGGAGAAGCTACACGCCGTAAGCAGAGCGAGGGGAGGGGTGGCGACAACAGGGGAGACTCTTTCCTTCCCCGGCTCCATCGCCAAGTTCTTTCTTTTCCTTGGCTCCTGTGCCCTGTTAAAAGCCCATGCATTGCCTTCTCGCCACTAGACAAGCAAACACATTGAGGAGACACCATTCTTCGTCTTGCAGCAGCTTACAGTCCTTCAGGAAAGCTTGCAACAGATGTGTTTGGATAGATTGTGCAAAGCTTAAAGAGGCTTAAAAGGTCCTGACTGTCTAGGTTTGGCACTTGGTCAGGCTCCTGTTTTTAACAGCAGCAGAACGAGTAATGTGCCTTCCATCTTCTTTCCAAGTCTTGGTTTGTGCTGTCAGATTTATCACAATTTGTTTCAAGACTAACTGATGTGAATGATTATCAACAAAAGCCGGGAACCTATAGTGAATACGTGCCAGCAGATGAACTGTAGGCAAAGACCATTAAGGTTGACAAAGCACCATATAGGCCATTCACTTCCCAATTACTAAGGAAACACAAAAGAGATGTTCTGTCTGGAACAAAAAGGCAGAAGGTTTATGCAAAATCCATTTTCTTCTGGCCTGCACATCTCTGTCCATGATGTGGATTTCATCACATTGAAGCTGAATCTAAACAGTTCAGGACCTGCCTATCTTCATGACCGCATCCTCCCCTACGAGCCCACGTGGTCCTTAAAATCTTCCGGGGATGCTCTTCTCTTGCTCCCGCCACCGTCTCAGGTGCGGTTGGTGGGGACGAGAGAGATGGCATTCTCGGTGGTGGCCCCTCATCTCTGAAACTCCCTCCCCAGGGAGATTAGGCTGCCACCCTCCCTATCTGTAGGGAACTAAAGACATAGATGTTTCATTGTGCATTCAATTGACGACTCCTGTGACATATGATCTGAATCATGACTTGAATCATGACCTGAATTCAAATTCCTATCTTTCATTACAACATTTTTAAGTTAAGTTGAATTGATCCTGTTTAATTGCTCTATTTCTAGGCTATTATTCCTATGCCGCTATACGTTTCTATCCACCTTATTGACCACCATATCCTATAACTATTTTGAATATTGGCCCCTCCCTCCCCTCCAAAAATGAGTCTGTTGTTGCTTTTGATGCTTGTTTATTATTGTTTATGCTGTTTTTATGTTATTTTAATATGTTATTGTTCTATGTATTGTTATTGTTCTGTTTTTAATTGTATGTTGCCTTGGGCTTGGCCCCATGTAAGTTGCCCCGAGTCCCCTCGGGGAGATGGAGGCAGGGTAGAAAAATAAAATTCTTTTTCTTCTTCTTCTTCTTCTTCTTCTTCTTTTTCCTCTTCCTCTTCCTCTTCCTCTTCCTCTTCCTCCTCCTCCTCCTCCTCCTCCTCCTCCTCCTCCTCCTCCTCCTCTTCTTCTTCTTCTTCTTCTTCTTCTTCTTCTTGGAAAAGTAGAGCTCAGTCTGACTCAGTTTTGAAATGAAACGGATTCTTTCCTTACCTTCATCACAATGTTAAATGTATCGGTGTTGCTCAGTTGTACACAGCATTCTTTCAGTAGATTTGCCACCACACTGTAATTGCTAGGCACTGCCCCCCATCCCTCCCAGTGTTCTCTATGGGGGGAAAAACACCCTCCTCTCTTTGAAATGTCAGCTGTTACTTGTCTTCAATTCTGGAAACAAGGGAAAAGGAAGGAAGTGAGGGGGAGCTACAATGTTCCCTCTCTCTCTCTCTCTCTCTCTCTCTATCATGCCCACAAAGAAGCGTGTGGACCTTGGAAAACTATATGTCCCAGGACTGCACAGCATGGAGACATGGCATAATAATAACAATAATAATAATAATAATAATAATAATAATAATAATAGTAACAACAACAATAATAACAAGCCAGTAAAGGTGGTCCCAGTGGTGATCAGCACACTGGGTGCAGTGCCTTAAGACCTTGGCCTGCACTTAAACTCAATCGGCAAAAAATTCACCATCTGTCATCTGCAAAAGGACACCTTACTGGGATCTGCACACAGTCCTAGACGCTTGGGAAGTGTCCAACGTGTGATCCAATACAACAGCCAGCAGAGTGATCTTGTCTGTTGTGGACTCATCTTGTTGTGTTTCAAATAATAAGAATAATCATCATCATCCTTCTCTCCCTGCTTTCCCATGCAACACATGGGCCATGGACAACATTTAGAATAATAGAATCATGGAGTTGGAAGAGACCTCGTAAGCCATCCAGTCC